ACCTACACGACCTTCACTCAACCTTCATCCCACCATGCTCTCACCGCATTGGATACGGAACTGCAACTTTCGCCATAGCGTTTCACCGTCCTTACTTCCCCAGACGCCCATCAAATCACAACCCAACCCACAACCCCGCCCTTGCATCGGCCTCACACCAACCTCAACCACACCACGCGCAAACACACCCAACACCCCCGATTTCCGCGTACACGCACCTTTCGGATTCAACTGATTAGGGCCCAGCGATTTCTTCGGCGTTGCTGCGCTGATCCGCATCGGCCTGCTCGAGCAGTAAATCCCGTTCATCTCACTCATCGCCCGATTCCTTTCCATCTCATCGCCGAAACGCACGAACCCGTATCCTTTCGATCGACCTGTGTTGGCGTCCGTCACCACCTTCGCACCCTTCACAGATGGGTACCGGGTGCGAAACGTCTCCTGCAGCATGTAATCCGTCACATCGGGAGCCAAATCCCCTACAAAGATCGAGTGCTCCGGTCCCGCCTCCGGCCGCCTCTCCCCTATTCCAAACGAAGCCCAATTCAGCCGGAAAGGCTGCTCTGTGTTCGGCATCTGAGTGCCGTTGTAAGCCTGCAAAATCTTCTCCGCTGCCACGTGAGACACAAATTCCACGAACCCGTACCCTTCGGAGTACCCCGTCTGCTTGTTGCGAATGATCTTCACAGACTGCACCTGCAACAACCATTCCCACCCTCCGTTAGCATGCCATCGCCTGTTCCCAACCCATCCTGCCCGCTCTGGAACATGTAATCTCATTGTGCTCTGCTATGCGATCCCCACAATCCTCCATCCATTCCCTCCACTCCACAGCCGCTCTAACTTCGCAAAGCTGCCATCGCATCATCATGCAACACCATCCACAACACCTACACGACCTACCATGTTCACACCAACAGCGCCCCGAAACGCACGGTCCCACACAAACCTATACCCCCCCCCCTCGGAGGCACCAAAGCTGCTCACACAAGTACCTCTCCGGTGTGTACAAAAGCTGTGTGCAAGTAGTTCTCGTCCATCCAGTACTGCAGATCTCCAACCCACAACGTTTTCACCTCCTCGTGATGCTGAGGCTGCATCCCCGACTGTTGCATCATCACCCATTGCTGCGGCTGCTGCTGCTGCCCCTCTGCCTGCTGCCCATGCGGGGGCCCGGCCCCTGCTGGCGACTGCATCATCCTCTACGACCACCCCGCTTCAGACACTAAGCCAATAAATCTGCGATTCCCAAACTTTTAGGAAGACCCCCGATTTTCCAGCCGAAACTAATTCCTCTGCACAAACCCTGCAAATTCCACACCAACCCCGCCAAATCAGTTTTCATGTGTCACAAACCTCCATCCCGCTACGTTCCCATGCGAATATCATCACCATCCTTCCACAATGTCCTCGTGTACTGGACAACGTCCGAAAAGCATAAAACCGTGCCGACTGATACCCAGGCCCCCAAGACGGGCGGGGGAAAGAAACCTCCCTCGCCTGTACATTCTCGGTTGCTCTGGTACACAAGACATTCTAAAATAAACCATCCCATCGCACGTTCCCACCTCGGCGACACCACCCCTGCCAACTAACTCGTTCCACAACAATTCGTATCGACTTCCTGCAACAAATTTCGGCCGATGCCTGCAGCGCCAGCTCACAGTGATAAGGAATACATAACTTCGTCATACACACCGCGTATTGTTCCAGGTCCAAACTGTCACGTCACCCACAACTCCCCAGCAGCACGCAGTTCACCTGCTCCTCTAACAACGACGACGACGACGCAGCTTCCGGATATCTGCGACACAACTAACCCGTGACCTCTCGCATCACCTCACCGAATCATGGCACTCTGCGCTCCGGCAGAATCTGCAAAACCCTGTCACGCCCAACCACAGCGGACCACGCACCAGCTCCGCCTACTAAAACATCATCCGCCGCCGCATTGCAGCTCGACGCAAACCCTCGCCATCTCTCCAACGCACGACTCCAAACTCTAACCCACCCGACTCTCTCGCCCAAAACCCTAACACCGTCGCCTACAAATCTCTCCGCATGACAAAAAATTACATAAAAATGTAAAAAACCACCAACCGGCAAACCAAAACACAATTCCAATAAAACAATCCCCCACGCATCCATCCAAAGCCACAGCCGCCGACACAACCGACAACCGAGCTCTACACCACCGCGCCCATTCCCAAAGCGGACTCCGACCACACCCCGCGGTCCCAAACCCCAAACCCTCGCACCCAGCGCAGTTGGAAAAGCGACACCCAGCCAACAGAAAAAAGAATTGCACACGCGAAGGGCAGGAGGTGGGGGGGGGGGACAAGGAGGAGGAGGAGAAAGAGGAGTGAGTACCTGCAGTCAGGGCGAGCTAGGGTGGCGGACGGAGTGACGATCCCATGCAGGAAGGAAGGGGGGATGGGGCGGGGAAGGGGAGGGAAGGGAAAGGGGGGGAGGGGGACAATCGAGAGAGAGAGGAGGTTCGTCGCAGGCGTAGTCGGAGACAGGCGGCGCTTCATTCACAGCCCCCGCCCCCGACCGAGCCAGCGAAGAAGTGGCGGAACGACCCCCGCATCAAGGAAGGAAAGGCGACGATGGCGAAGGAAGGAATACGAAGGGGGGCTTCAGTGCGTGTGGGCTCCACCCTTGGACGGACGGACGGACGGACGGCCGGCCACGATGCCCCGCTCTCCTGCCCTCGCTCTCATCGTGCCCGTCGCGGTGCGGCCCCAGCTGCTCGCTCCCCTGCCCTGCCTGCCTGCGTCGCCTCCCTCCCCCCCCCCTCATTCCCTGGACGGCCCCGATGTAGCCGCGTCCCGCGCAATCTCGCATCGCAGCCGCCGTCTGCTCAGTCTCCCCGCCATTCTGACTTCCTTCCTTCCTTCCTTAATCTGGTTTCTCTTGAACCCGGTCCCTCGTCCCTCCCCGTCTAGTGCTCCGTCCCCCGCCTTGCCATCCATCGCTTTGTCCCGTCCTGCCACTCCCGCATGCCAGCCTTTCTTGTCCCTTTCGCTCTTGCTTCGTTTCCATCCCTGTTCGCTCTTGCGTCCGTGGGCTGCACTGCGATGGCCCCTTTCACTGTCCCCTCGCCGTGCTGTTCAAGCACCGCGCGGCACCCTTTGCGCTGAATCATGGTGCGCTGCAGTGCATTGTCCGGGAAGGCAACGAGACCTTGTGGCGAGGCCCTTAGCCTTGCGCCGCAATGGTGTGTGCAATTCTTGTGTGCAATCCCGGATGCCCTTGCTCTGTCTCTCCGTTGCTGCACATTTCCGCTCCGAGATTGTTGGGCACGCGGGCATTCCATGGACGAGTGTACGAAATTCATACCGGTGGTAGGATATGATATTAAGTACCATCATCATCACAATCAAACAGTGTTCCGTGTCATGTCAGATCCAAGTGGAGGAAGCTTGCATGGCTCGCTGTTCAAAGCGGCAAGACCGCACAGAGAATAACATGAAAGCCTCAACAAAAGCGCGGTTAAGTTGGAAGATACTTCCAGTCCCGCCGTTCCCGATGGCGTGGCCTCGGAATGATTTTGTGGGTTTCAACCGCGAGGGCCTGGAATCCCCCTTGTTGGATTCTATTCTCTGGGCATGGTTCGTGCTTCGTTTTTCAAGACCATTCTTGCCAGTTTTATTTACTGTTCTGTTTTTTGCTTTTATTTCTCTTCTGGGTTTCTAGATTCTAAGCAGTTTGTTCGAATTTGTTATAATGTGTAGCTTTTCTAGAAATAATGGCGAATTGAGTTCGTTGGGAATATCTTGGTCATTCTTCATTATGTTTTTCTTCTTAGTTATTGTCATAGATCATTTTAGTAAGATTCTTTTCCTCGTGTGTATTTTATCTTCTTTGTTGTTGATGGTTCAACTACTTTTTTTTTCTCGTTGGTTGTACCCAAAAATATTATGTTTGGACTTTTTTCCGTCATTTTTGAAGGAAGCGCTAGGTGATGTTACTGCATGCATGAACATATGATCCAAATTTGCTTTGTTTTCGATAATTTTCTGAAGTTTTAGTGCGTAGTTGTGTTTTGTTGTTTGTTGGTTTTATTTTTATTTTCATTTTGCTGTCTTTTACGGGCTAGATACATGACTTTTCCTCTCTTAAGTGTTGCAGTACATCCAGTGTATTTAAGTCATGAGCATGATGCATAGGTACCTCACCTTTACGTTTGGTCAGCATTTGCTATTTATCACAAACATGTAGCTTTTTATTTGTATTCAGTTTAGCTTGATGCAATAAATGTGTTTAAGATTTGTATAATTATGACGTGACGCTTTTTATTTTGTTTGTATTGTTGTTTGTTGAATCATGTGATGAAATTTGCCCTTTCTCTACTTTTTACACTATTTGAGTTCCACTTTGTTTTGTTGGTTTGGTTGGGATGGATGGCTTATGCTTTTACAACCTAGTAAATGGAATCATTTCCATTAAATCTATACATTACGACAAGTTTATTACAGATTAATATTGTTTCTGATTTGAATCTTGTTTTATTTCAGAACGTGTCTCAAATATTTGTAATGTTTTTGAATTTGTATGAGTGTGATCATGTATTGAAAATGATCAAGACGTTCAAGTTACATCTGCTTTCGATTTTCACAACCATGCTAAAGGAATTGTACAATACTGATGGCACTCACGTGTATTCGCGGTTTGGTCTGTCGTGCATTAATTCTTAAGCATAAACCCCTACGAGGTGGCGTTTTTCTCACTTTCACAAGTTGCATTATATAATGATTTTCCAAATGCTGATGAACGTGCACCGTATACGCAATAAGTAGTGTTATTCTAGCAACTATTATGCCTCACAAGTGAGGAACTTATTACTGCCAAGACAAACCTGATGAGTCCTCACATTCATTTTGAATGAGCTTTTTCATTTTCTGAGCAGACCATGTCGGAATATTGAAGGACCACTTATTCCGATAGGTTTGTCGACGCTCTAAATTTGAAGGATGTTACGATGTAAGAGCTGGATCACATATCACTAAGGGTGCTGGATTCGTTTGTGATCGCAGCGCATGTTTGCATCATCCATGAGCACAGTCTGTGATTAGCGGTACCTGTCTCAGAGAATGGGTTATGAAGATCTAGTCCTCAGAACTCGTGGAGCGACGTGTGCGGAATCGTGCTATAGACCATCACAGATTTCTGGACCACTAAGTCTTCCAATTCTCCGAGCTCGACTGTTTTGTGTTCTAGATTTTAGTTAGCATATTTCTCTCGAAGGATTTTGTTGTCTGGAAGAGGGTGCGTAGGGTTGACTCAGGCGAAGTTTTCTTGAGCTCAGATACTTGAGAAGCGCAACAGCAGTACGCCTCAGGTTTTTAGATACGGTACACGTGATGCACTGGAGGGTGCAACCGGTTCTTGTGGATTCCGCATCCCAATACACGGATTTCATCAAAGGTTATTGTCATTAGGTTGCGAAGAATGTCATTTATCCGTGTACAATCCAAATGTTTAAATCGTGACCACTCGCAGGACGAGTTTATGGTCTGGAGACAAGACTAAGCGTTCGTGAACTGTTCATTCGAGGCTCTTCATCCAAGAAATGGCTTGGCGGACGAGACCAACAAACTAGATGTCAGGATGCCGTCGATCGAGACGGTGAAGGACGATATCCTGGACCTGCTTATGAGGTTCAGTCAGCCCTCCCTCCAATGCAAGAACCACAAGCGATGCTCTCTGAACCAGCAGCCTACACGCTTTCCTATATGCTTTGTCTGTGGGTAGAAGTTGAGACTATGGTGATGGTCCGCAGAGGATGTTGGGTTGCAAGTTTATGGGCTATGTTGTAGGCGTTCCATCTGTTGCTTTCCATCTACATTTGTTGGCGCAGTTAATTTTCCAGTTGATTTTACTGCGAGTCCATTCAGGCCTTGTCTTACTCTCTCGCTACTGTGAAGATGTTCTTGTTGCAGTAGTTCATGTCCCGGTAGCTCGTAGGGTTGGGGATTTGTCGTTGCGAGAGAGGGTTTCTTGTGGTTTTGTTTTTTATTCATATTTCTTTTAATTTTTTAATTTTTTTTTGGGGGTAATTATTCACAGTTTTTGCTTTTGTGAAGGTTTTCGAACTTTTGCGGAGTATTTCAAGTTTCTAGGTTGATTGCGTCGGGGGTTTGATACTTCGAAGTTGAGGGAATGTTCGTCATTTCCCAGGTTGATCTTTAACCTGCTTGGCGTTGCAAGGTGCTCAGCGTAGCGGTTCTGTCCCTATGTGTCAGTAGCCAATTGCGAGCTGAATTGTGGGTTGAGCTTGTCCGCGAGTTCTGAACCTGCAAACACGCAAGTGTCGGAAGCTCTGCACCCACAGTTGCCGCTTCCTGGCGCAGTCAAATTTTCAGTCTATTTTACTGCGAGTCCATCCGGGCTTTGTCTTTACTCTCCTGTGACTGAAGAAATTTTTGTTGAAGTAGTTCATGTCTCGGTAGCTCGTAGGGTTCAGGATTTCTGTTGCTTGAGAGGACTTCAAGCGATTTAATGTTATTTATATTATTTTTAGTTTTTATTAATGTATTTTTTTGGAGGAGAGGGCAGTTTATGTACAGTTCTTTGAGATTTCGAAGTTGGGGGGATGTTTACAATTGCGCAGCTTTGCCTCGGCGTTGGTTGGCGTTGCAAGCTGCTCAGCGTAGCTGTCTTATAACTGTGTGTTATTAATTAGTTGTGAGCTGAATTGTGGGTTAAGATTTTCTGCGATTTGTGAACCTGCAAGCAAGGAAGACCTCGAGGCCAAGGACGGGAAGGAAAATATTACCAGAATGTATCAGACCCTGATGAAGCAGTATCCAAGTGTGGGAATAGTCCCAGCAAGTGGTGCTCAGTCAGCATCAAGTAACCAGGACATGCCTTCGATGTACGGTGCTAGCTTCTCTAGCAATGGGAGAGCGAGCTCGCCGGACCCGAAACCCCGTTTGCGATGGACCCCGGAGCTCCATGAGCGATTTGTTGACGCGGTCGAACGGCTGGGTGGTGCCGACAGTAAGCCACTCGTGCTAATCCCTCCGGAAGTACAATCCAATTCGATCTAGCTTACATGTGGCTACAGTTTGTTTGGGTGTTTTTTCAACAACGCGAAGGATGAATTGAATCGATGCGGTCCACATGACATACGATTTGCATCGCCAGTTGCCTCTGACGCCTCAGCACATTGTTACGGCTTAATTTTTGTTATTGCTGGTCTTTGTGTCCTCGCATACTTTCTTTCTAGACTACAATCCCTGCAAGAGCTTATTGTTCTGGAGTCTATTTTGGAAGTATCTCCTCCAGATCAAGTCCATTATTTGTGAAAAGCCGTGAGCAATGCGTCTGGTTGAGGATTTCATGAGCTGATTATCGGTCCCTCTGAAGTGCAGAAGCCACTCCAAAGTCGGTGATGCGGGTGATGGGCGTGAAGGGCTTGACGCTTTATCATTTGAAGAGCCACCTCCAGGTTGGGTTTTTTCCTGCCATATTCCATACCTTTTTTTGGGTGAAGTATGTATATCTGTTTTATCATCACTTATCTCTAAACTTTTGTGTATCTCCCTTCCGCTTTTAGAAAATATCATAACCTTTGCTTTAGTAGTAGTGACCCAAGGTGAAATTGTTCATGTTCTAGATATCGAATTTTCACTGTGCGTGTTTCGATCTCTTCAGCAGTAATATGTTGGATCGTCTTTGAATCGTCTTGCTCACGTCTATGTTTGCCTTTTTAAATCGTGATAGTAATACTTTCCAGGTAAATCCTATTTTTCGCACTCAGCTCGTTGGTATATCTTGATTTTGTGGCGTTCTTGAATCTGGCTCCTGCTTCTTTCCTGAGCACTACTACATCACTATTCAGTGGTTGATGCTAACCTTCACTATCTCAGGCATAAAGTTGGCATTCTCTAGTAGCTGATGATATGGCATGCACTCCACACATGTAAGGGGCGAATAGCATCAAGTCAAGACATGTCAGGAATGTAGGAAAATTTAGGAGCAGCTTGAGCAAAATTGATACCCACTAGAAAGGATGTAACACTGATTTTTTACTCACGAATTCATTTTGTTACATCCAGAGTACCTTCGTCGAGATTCTGCTCTCGTCGGGTTTATAGCTTGACAGCCCGGTTTGAAGGTTCTTATGAGCGTAGAACCTCTTAATAAGGATTTAAAACCTTGCCTGAATATTCTCTAGAAATTTTTGAAGCACCTGTAAGTGCGAAACAATGTGACAATTAGGAGTTTTAGTCTGGCACTGTCTCAGTAAAAGATTTCTACTGTGAGGCTTCTGTTCCGATCTTATGCTAACTATCTGAGCATGTGGACTTTGATAAGTATATCGTGTGTCGTTTGAATGTGTGATATTATTTGTGACTTGAATACTAACCCAGCTCAGGCATCAATTTTGAACTTGGTCTGCAGAAGTTCAGGCTCGGAAAACAGCTTCATCCAGAAAATAGTGGACATGAGGGTGGCAAGGGAGGTAAGTGCTTCGGAGTCCTTTAAAGAGCTGAAGTACCAATACTTTTCCTGTTGGTCATTTGGACAAGATGTCCTTTTCATCAGTTTATTATAGATAAGGAAATTGCTTCCATGCATCTTCCGGCTCTTACAGAGATTGATAACTTGCCGGACACTAGTTTTTTGGAGCCAAGTGTGGTACATATCGTCCCAATTCATGTTGTAATGTTGCGGATTTGGATTCTATTGTTTTGTTATCGTTCAGGACGGCATGTCGTGTTTTACTTTTGGCAATTTCTCAGACTACTTGATTCAGTCAATGTGAGACGCTTCATGAAACTTGAGCATGCGGGGTTGACTCTTACTTACAGTAACAACGGGTGGGAGTTGCATTGATCAGGGTCTTCTGATATCCAAGTCACAAGCAATGCTTGTAGTGATGAGCCAAGCACTTCGAAAGCCCTGAATCAAGAGTATGTTTATCTCGAGACATTTTTGAAACTTTTCTTGGGCAGTTCTTTTCGAATTCTGCGTCTATGACACAGAGGACTTTGCTATTTTCACGTGTCTTGTCAGGAAATGCTTTAACAAAAGCCTCCAGTATGGGTTAACCTCTGACGAGGTGGTAAGTGGTAGGTGGGAAGTCTGCTGATTCTTGACTTTATATTTCGTGTAATGCAGGGGCTTTCAGATATCCGAGGCTATTCGGATGCAAATGGAGGCTCAGCGTCGGTTGCAAGAGCAACTCGAGGTTTTCTTTCTACTCGATTTCTCGTTTTGGCTCTAGTATTAGATATCTTGTGTGCAAGCAGTCCGGATGGAGTCTTTTTGATTGTGGGTCCCTACGTTCCAGTATACAAGCTCATTCTGAGATTCATCTATGGTCGATAGGGCTGGTATTTCTAGTTTCTCTCGAACTTAAAGATTCTTATGTACTACTATGCTCCCCCTCATCAAGACTTTAATACTAATCCTTGGACTGTTGTTTTCTGGTGCAGGTGCAAAGGGAACTACAATTGAGGATTGAAGCCCAGGGCAAGTACTTACAAACTATCCTTGAAAAGGCTAAAGAAGCACTAGGTAGACAAATTGGGGAATCCCCAGGGCTTGAAACAGTACATGCAAAGCTCACAGAGCTGGTCTCGAAAGTCAATATTGAACCTATGAATATGTCTTTTCCTCCTTTCACCTCGGTAGAAGCTCCAACTCACATTGCAGACACCAACATTAGCACCCTTCCATGTCAAGAACCTCGTATATCAGATAGTTCCTCACAGAAAAGCCATGTTACCAATGTTGCTGCAAACCCTGAGGACAGTGGTGATGCTTCTGCAAGTTGTGAGAATCATCCATCAATAGATACGCTATTGAGTCCAACACAGGGATTACAGAGCATAGCAGAGTAGAGCAGGTAAATTTCCTTTGAACTCGTTCACTTCACTAGAGACTGCAATGTTATTGCCGTTAATATCAACAGCTTGTTTTTGGAGGGCTTCTCTAGCTGTTTTGATAGACCGATTTATGCTTTTGCGCATGGTGAATTTCAGTAGAATATTAGTATAATTAAAACTTTTCATTGTTTGCATTATGAAGCAAAATTACTCATCATGTTCTGAATACCTAGTTTCTTACGTATATACTCGTCATCCTTGCAGAAGCTCAAAAATTCAAACCTGAATTTGATTTGAGAGCACATCAGGGCACCCCTCCATGGAAGGTTCTTACTCAAGATATGGTCAAGAGCACGGTCTCCTTCATCTAAACAGAAGACAGTAGTCTTAGTACAGCATTCTCTCTGCACGATAATTTTATTTCGTAAGAGTTCGTATTTGTCAATAAGCCTTAGAAAAGAGTAGCTACAACAATACTCTTGCTGCTTGATGAACTGAAAGCTATTTCGGAATGCTTTTGCAGGAACTTAGTAGTTTAGTGAGATATGTACAGACATGCAGTATTCTCACGATTGACCTCTACTACTACAATCTGGTGGCTTAGGTAGGTGGTCATCCGTGCATTGAGGTTTGTGACCCAGACATGTAGGTAAAGAGAAGGCAACTTGAAGGATCGAAGGATACATCTCAATTTTGCACCCTATTTTTTATATGCATATATGTGTGAATATATATTTATATAAAAACGCTCTCTGATTGGCCGCATGCCTCATCATTTTTGTCAAAAGTGAAGCAAAAAAGAAAAGTTAACGTCTTTTGACGTCTATGCCAGATATTCTTGCAAAGGAACAATTTCAATAATTGTTTCAATGGGTTCTCACTCTCTGGTTCTTTACATTCTAGTTCTAAGGAGTCTTCACTCAATGAAATAGCTCACAATAGTCTTCACACAAAATTGTCTATTTAAGAGTGTGCATTATGTATTATGTGTTACTAGCCTATTTAAGAGTGTGCATTATGTATTATGTGTTAATAGCCTATTTAAGAGTGTGCATTATGTATTATGTGTTTCTAGCCTTTGCCTTGTGGCAAATGATATAATTGGTGTTGTTGTGCATTTTGTCCATGTGGGAGCATAAGTTTAGGAGACTAACCTCGCCTTCTTCATAGTCCAATTCCTTTTGCAACTGCTCCATGAGGAGCTCCATGTCAATGTGGTGCTCTAGCTTCCTCATGCCCAACTCGATGGAGTTCAAGTTGTATTCAAACTTCTCCATGTGCATTTACAAGCATTTTAGTGCACCAAAGATAGTGGAGAATTTGTCAAGGTTGAAGTTATCATCAAATACTAGAAATGAAAGACACAGATTGTGCAATAGTACAACATAGCGCATTGAAATAGAGATTGTATGAGGAGTTGGAGATTCTTCAATGTCCATCATTGCAAAGTGGGCTTCTCAAGGCCTAAGATTTCGTAATGGTAGTAGTGGTGGTTAACACTTGATATAGACATGAATGCATTAGATAGAGACCTTTTGTAAAAATTGTGGAGGTTGAAGCTTTGTAGGTTGTGGCTTCTGAGGTTATTTTGTATTGAAGAAGATACTTCTTTTTCAAAGAATCTTTGGGAATGCATGTGGTGAAAGAAGAATGAGAATTTTGAAAGTTTAGTTGATACTCAATTGTGCTTTGATCCAAATTAGGGATAGTTTTCTAATTGCATCTCTGAGCAACTTCATAGATGCAACATATGTCATAACGAAGACCATGATAGAGAGTTTGCTTAGTTTATATTATAGTGTAACTTGTGCTGCCAACTGCTTGCTTCTTCAATGGATTCAACTATTCTCTTAATAGAAGTCACATTTAAAAGCTTGACTAGCATAAGAAATGACCTCAAAAATATAGCATGTGGCTTGAGTAGGTGAGACAGCCATAGTAAGCTCGTTATGACTTTGCAAGTAGCATAATTGCTTATATTTTGGCAGAACATTGGATTGCAGAAGGGCCTCCTTACCTTGGACATTGATCAAGACCAATGCCTTATTTTCATGCCAATTGCCAACCTCAAGTGGCATTAACAAAATATCAATGGTGAATGTTTGTTCCATGTGCATCAAGAATTACTGTCAGTACTTCTATAGGACCTCTATCTCCATTCTTTAGTTGTAATGTAGGTATGCCTCTATTCAAAAATTCTCAAGCCACTATATTTCTAATTTTTTTAGTCACATCAAAAGTCTTTAAAGAAGATTTTAAGATATTGCCGTTATGTTGGATCAATGTTTAGTGCTGTTATGAAGCATACTTGACAAGTTTATGAATAATTATATTTATACTTTAGAAATGTGTAGCAACTACATTTAGCAATGGATTCTTATCAAGATATGATATGTTGCAATGCAATGGAAAGAGAGTCTAAGTTGCTATTATGAATAGAAAGATCAAATTCAGATGTATGTCAATTATATCTTTTTACTTTTTTGATGCTTACATGATGAGACTTGGACTCTTTGGAACGCATTGTATCTGATCCACAAATTTGAAATCGAGCGATTTTTAGGGAATCATTGGACTGATTGGGATTTGAGAGTGGGCAACAATGTTGATAATGAATAATAGATCTTTGGTAGTGTAGCAGCTTAACATGTAATTTACATAGTACTTACTGCTTTAGGCCTTAGAAGACGATTCTTTTTCAATGTAGGCAAAATGAGAAATTGATGCATTTACTTCATTGATGTATTAAAAGCTTCTATTTGACCATGTGTGTAATTTTTTCAAATTCATCTACACTATCATATTATGTGAAATCTTGCTGAAGAATGCATTGAGTACTAGCTGTGGAAGGTAAAAGAAAATTGCAACAATAAGTTCTAAAAATTCTAATAGAATCATGTATAAAATGTAATTAAAGCTTAACAAAAATAATAAAATATTAATTAAATTCAACTAAAATTTCATAGAAATTATAAAAGAAATATAAAGAAATTCTAAAGAACTTCTAAAGAAATCATAAAGAAATAATAAAAAAAATCCTAAAGAAATCCAAAGAAACCTTAAAGAAATCTTAAAGAAGCCCTGAAGAAACTTAAAAGAAATCTTTAAAAAATCCACAAGAAATCCTAAAGAAATCCTAAATAATCCTTAAAAAATCCTAAAAAAGTCCTAAATAATTTTAAAGAAACTCAAATTCCTAAACCGACCCTAAATAGATCCTAAATCCTAAATCAATCCTAATAAGATCTTAAATCCTAAACCAAATCTTTGCCATATCCTAAATCCTAAAAAACCCAAATCAACTCCTAAACAAACTCTAACCAAAACCTAATCAATTCAAACTAATCCTAGGACACTTGTAGAATCTTAATATCTATTGACTAAATTTTTGATCTTTCTTAAAATTTTACATACCTCTTAATCTCTTAGTTAAGAACAAGCATAAAAAATTTGAAGAGCATTGAACTTACAAAATGAAAAAATTACATCATAATCCACTTGAGTATTGATCGGCCTCTATATAATGTTGATCTTCTAGCAACAATAGCTCCTAATTGAACTATTTGCTTGCTCTCAAATTTTGCACAAGTATTGGAAGTCAAATCAACTATTATCTTGAATAAAAATCACTTCAATCTAATTAGCGAATTTTTGCAAATCTTAAATAATCTTATTAGATCTAAAAATCTAATTTTTGAGACTCTTGCCCACTTGAACTTCAATAACCTTCAATGCAACTATTCAATTAAGTTAAAATTTATAATATTTATTTATTACAACTATATTTACAAATTCATAAAATTTCATCCATATATTTGCTACAAAACTCACAAAATTTCCTAAACTATAAACCTTATTTTATTTAATAAAATCCAAAGTCATCTAAAACAAGTCTAACTTTGCAAAGCTCTTACAAAGTCATTAGAAACTCAAATTGCTTAAAATCAATGCTAAAAGAAAACTTATAAATTTTTCTTTCAAATCTCAATCTCTAATTTGCAAACGAACCTTGGAGTCACTGTAGGTGTGCAATTTTGTGCCTTAGGATATGATTTCAACCTAGATTGACAATTAGACCTCTCTAGGTATCAATTTTTATCTTCTTGAGGTAATTTTTGATAAAATAAACTTCTAATTTCTTCCTTCATATTCTTATATAACTTATTTTTCTAATCTATCTTATTTTTCTTTATTTATGGCCCTACAAAGTAAATAGAAGCCTACTTTGCAAAAAGGTAGTATTTGTACTTGTAGTTTATTATTCTTTGACTATTATCTATATTTCTAAGATAATTTGCTACAACATTTTGAAATAAGATATTTTAAAATATAATATTTTATTCACTCTTTTACCTATTAGTTATGTTACATTACAACAATGCGTGAAGATTAACCACTACAAATAGATGTGATCTGTTTTTCAGCCATTAACTTTGAATTTTTCCTTTGCTAGTAGGAGCATTCTTTTTCATTTATTTTTGGGTTAGTGGATGTAAACATATTTCTAGGCTACATTCAGAGAAATATTAGTTGGGTTTAAAGGCATTCTCAAAGTCTTCTCAAATATTCTTTTTCATTCATTTTTTAAAGTTAAATGATGAGCAGCTTTGGATTAATCGTTCATAATTGGTACTTGCTATTACCATAAGGTGATTGTGATTTTTGAGAGCAAAAAACAATGCTTCACCATTGCATGCATTGTTTTTAGAGCGAGTTTGTAATTAATCATATATTATTGACATATATAAAAATTAGTCTTTTTTTAGAATCCCTTTAGTTGTTTTAATTTCTAATTGAACTAATTCTATAGCCAATGGCAAGGATTTCTACTAATGTGTATATATATACATATACATATATTCATATATGGCTTGTCTAGTAATCACTAAGGTGGATTCAATCGAATACTAAATTGAAAGAGTCTTGTAAATACCAATATCTATTTTTTATGTTCTTGGTTTGCCTACAATGGCCATCAAACTATGCAACACAATTTTAGCATAACTCATTGAATAAAAGCTACTCATAATTGTAGAGATAAATAAAAGAATCCAATAGAACCCAATGGTGGTAATTAATTAATTTATGATCAAGTTCATATATTTAGAAAAAGTTTTGAGGTGTGTAGTTTTGAATTATAAAATATTAAATATTAAAATATTAAAGTTATTATTATTATTTTTCTTATTTTGGTTCAAAATATATATTTAAAGGTTATACTTATTAATTTTTATGAAGAAAAAAGTTTACAAATAACTCAATTTGATGAAATTGATAAAATAGTTTAGACAAATAATTTTCTTGTGGTTTTATCAAGATAACAAAATAGTTAATATTGGTAAGAATCTCTTGTTATTACAATTTTTTAGTCCTAGTTTTTAGTCCTAAAGTTTTTACAAATAAATTTTAAACAAAAAAGATTGTAGTTTACAATTAATAAATAATATGAATCCATCTAATTGGTAGGCTTAAGAATAGAAAGACCTTAGTTAGGATTCAAGTATAAATCTAAACAACACTTAAGTAAGAGCAAAGTATGATTCCTAAAGCTAAAATATAGCCAAATTTATAAACATACAATTCCTCAACTAAACAAATTCATTACATATTAAAAACATACTCGTCCAAAGTAAAAATTCTTTTACAAATTTTATTAATTGTGTAGTAGGAAATAGTATCATGTATATAAGACTAATAATTGCATTGATACAAAGCTAAAAGAACTAAATGTAGTATTCAAAGATTTTCTATTATAGTAGAGTTGATTTATGTGAAGAAATGATATATTTACCAAAATAAAGAGTTTGTTGTGTTTTTAGTCAATTATTTTTTAATTAAAAATAAAAATAAAATTTACAAGAATAATATGATCTTTAAATTCTAATATACATAAAATAACCTCTTTCTTTAAAATCCTTTTTTTCTAAACTAATGAAATAAACTAGAATTAATATACTGCAACTATATAGTAATTTTTATAGTTCTTCAAATATATATTCTTTTATTTTAAATTTTTGAAAATTTATCTTATAATATTTGTTTAATATATATATTGATATTATTTTTCACTAAATAAATAAATAATAATATCAATCAATCTAATTTTTATAATATATTTTTTTAGAAATAAATAATCTAGTAAATAAAATAATCTACTATATTCAATGAAGAATTTAATCTTAATTAATAGATAAAAATATTTAATGTATATATATATATATATATATGTATATATATAGGATATTACTAATGCCAACACAATCTTTACTATTGTCACCACATGTTGCTACTCACTCAGATATTATTTTAGTTTTTTTTTTTTTTTTTTTTTTTTATTCCAATCAAATATTCCATTAATATTTCTTACATATTTAAACTATTTAGAATTTTTTTAAATTTAATTATAAATAATAACAATGACTTTTTATTTATTCAACAATGACAAAAGGTATGGATGGCATGTGGTGGGTAGAAGTTATAGTTGCAGCAACAAAAACTATGGTGATATACGTAATATCCTATATATATATATCTTAAAGAAACTAGTTAATTATCTTTAGTTCTATTATAAATTAATATTGATTCTTATTGGTTGTAGATAATATGACAAAAATCAAGATAATTTTTTTCATAAAATAATTGTGAGGTCACAGTAGCCTGGACTTTTTTATAGCTAGTATTTAAAGATTATTCTGAAGTTGTAAAATAATAAAAAAATCGAGAGATACTAAAGAAGGAAAATTTGATAGTTGTTAGTTGGTATGAATTACATAGACAAACTAAATTGCAATGAATAGAGAAGTAATTTTTTTTTTCTTAAAAGAAAAAAAAAAAAAGTTAGTTTTGATAGAAAATAATAATATTAATAATATTAATAATATATATATATATATATATATATATATATTTTCTTAGTAGATTTAAATTATTAGTAAAAATAATAATAATTAAACCAAATATTACTTAATTAAATTATAAAAATAAATATAATAAGTTTTCTTGATGGAATTTGATTGACATTTAAATTATGAAAATTTCACAATACATTACTTATAGTAAGTTTTACAATCTAAGACAATGACCAAAAACATTATTTTTGTCTAATAAGTGCAAGTATTTTAAAACGTGGTTTATTTATTTTAGAATATATAATTTAAATCTATAATTTATTTATAATTTTTCCATCTTGTTTTATTATCTTAGGGCTTTAAGATTTCAAGTAGATTTTTATTTTTTATTTTTTATTAAAAATAAATATGTGAGAGTATAAATAAATTAAGTTTATAAATTATGTAATATAATAGATTATATTTTTAATATTTAAATTTTTCTATTAAAATCTAAAATATCTCTAAAAGTTGATATTTATTTTAATTTCAAAAAATAATAAAAATAATAAAAATAATACTTTTCAAGATTTTTAATTCAAAAAATAATATTATATATATATATATGTTGCAAAGGTTGCTTATTATTATGTATACTTTCTAGGAGAATTAGTAATATTTTATGTAATTTTTTTAAAAAATGCATGCATATTATTAGGATTTTAGAATTGGATAGAGTTTTAACTTAAAGTAGATTCACAAGAAAGCATGTAAATAAAAAACCCAAAGAAATAGGTTTAAATAGTTAGACCAGAGATATATTATGCACAACCTTTTAAAAAAAATTCATAATGTTCTTGTAAGCATAAAAGATAATTTTTATTTTAACATTAAATGCTTATGTAAACATAACATGGAAGCCATATAATTTTTATTTGTTTCCTTATTGTTAAAAATTTCAAAACATATAATAATATAAAGTATACATGTTTAGAAGCTATGTTTTTTAAACATTGTTGTAAGACATGAATAACTTTAAAGATTATTTGAATGATATTTAATACAAACATGTGGAAGAAAAAAAATATTGAATATTAAATGAATAATATAATCAAAGAGTTAGTACTTCATTTTTATAAATAATCATATTTATAGAAGAAAAAAGTAAAAAATGATAATTTTTTTTTAATAAAAAATTTGAAGGTGTAAATAAAGTTTTGATGCAACAAACTAATGCTATTTTAGAGAATGTCATTTTTTTTTTTTTTTTTTTTCTTCTTCTTCTTCTTCTTCTTCTTCTTCTTCTTTTAGTGATAGTTATATTTGAAACCAATTCTATGAAGAAATTCATCAATCAAAGTTTGTCATCTTAGAGGCAATACATTTAAAATCAAATCTATTGTTTGTATTTACTTTTAACAACATAGTAATAAATGAAGACATTTTTGAGGCATCTAAAATTGATAATTTTATTGAAAAAATTAAAAAATATAAAGATTTTTATATTGGTATTACACAAATCATTTTCATTCAATAGATTAAATTTGTTTGTTGTTGTTTTTTTGTGTTTTTGCAACTAAAATATGTACAACATCAACTAACAAAACATGGATTTTTTCATGTTGCTATTATTATATCATGTATTTTCATATTTTCTTCATGCCATGTTTATTACAAAATAGATATATTTATATGGATGGGTCTTTTTAACATTTTCCTATATATATATATATATATATATATATAAATATTATAAGTCTCCCAAATTTACCTTGTCAACAATTTTATAGCCACCTCATATTACAAATGTACACACCATATCATTATTTTAAGTCAACTATGAATGCAAACTTCTTCTACTATACTTTTGCTAGAATTAAGAATATTTGCATCCTTGCACATTATAAATAAACTGAACACCATTCTAAAAATCAAGTGGTTGCAAAGTATGCAAACATATAAGTATGGGGTAATCCTATTCACATGTCAAGCAGTGGCAAAGTAGGTGCTACCCATTACACACTATGAACACTATGAACGTCTTTGCATTGCACAACTGGAAGGCTTCCTTAATGCCAATTCTTTGTTAGCATCCTGAACATGCTTTGTTATGCACTACATTTCCAATCCAAACCTGCTCAGCTTAACCTAATAGAATCAAAGACAAGATTGAATTGACCCAATACACAACTTTGTTGCTGATGTTGAGGTGATAAAATCAAATTTAACTGGTAACAGAAGAGACATGCAACTAGTGCTTTCAGGGCCAGTCATATCACCAGGCAAAATTTCACATGGCAGGTGATGAATGTTATCATACTCCGAGCCTCCAATTTCAACACTAGGAAATGCACATGTAAGGAGCTGGGTGAGGCTGTGTCGAGGGAAATTGCATTGGTCTAGGTGAAAAGAATTTCTTGCAACAATTTACTAAACAATGGAGCAATTACAAGTTTCAAATAAAAGCTGGGTCCCTATACCTTTTGAATATCTCATCTATACCTGCCTTAACCTCGTCAGGTAAAGGTCTAGTTACTGCAAAAGCATCCATATTTTCCTTCAACTGTTCTAAACTAGTCGCACCAATAATAGAGCTAGTAACAAAAGGTCGGTCACGACAAAAACCTAGAGCAAGCTCAACTGGGGACAAATTATGTTTCTTGGCCAACTCGACGTACAAACCAACGGCCTCCTGAAATTTTTGCACAAACGAAATCAAGAATGAGGATAATGGCGATCACATACATGTCTGTGACAATTCAAGCAACATCACATATCAAGAGAAACCAACCAAGCAGAAAAACCATGAAAGAAGCAGATGAAGGAAGAGCGACTTTACCCTGGCAAGCCCCTTGTTGTAGCGGGCCATGTATCCAGGAAATATGTTGAATCGTCCGGTTGTATTTTCAGGGTTTGTATACTTCCCGGTCAAGGCTCCTCCACCAAGCGGAGAGTAAGCAAGTAGCCCAACATTGCAGTTGTCAGGATGGCATACCTCCACCAAATCAACTGCAACAGTTCCATCGGACGCGCATAAGTACAGCAAATTCTGTGCAAAGATGTGTGCTTACTAACCACACGGCGACCAGAGGCAACTCGAGGAATCACTGGACAGAACCTTAAATGAAAACATGCCGATGAAATGGTTCACTAGCAGAGTTGGAATTGTGCTGCCCAAATACTGTGTTCAAATAAGTTATTAGTACGTATATTACCTTCAAACATTGTTCGAACAAGTAAACTGTAGCTATTCTGGATGCTGACGATTTTTGGGAGGTTCAGTTGCTCAGCTACCCGGGTGAACTCCATCACTCCCCATGACGACTCGTTCGATACTCCCACATACCTGACCTGATAAGCTATCAAAACGTTAGTTACTTATAATTTCATGATTAAAGTCAAAATACTTTATCAGAGAAGCTGCTGGGTAATCGGATGTAGGTCCTTTTAGTGTCATACCTTGCCTTGATCAATAACCTTCTTCAGGGCTTCAAGTTGCTCCACGATAGGAACGGCTTCTCTCATATTTTGGGGATCAAAGTATTTTTCTCCGAACAATGGCACATAACGGTCGGGCCTGGATGGTCAATAACAATGACAGATAAGCGGTCTTCAGAACCAACTGAACTGAAATGACCACCTTCGTTCTTAAACAGAAAGACCACCATGATGTGCAGACGAAAAATATCAACTAGACTTCTGGCCTCCTTAATGATGTCCCTACCCTATTCATGCGACTTGACAAAACTACTTTCGTTTCACAATTACTAGAGAAGAGGCAAAGTATAACGAGAGGATGGGCAGTTCAATTCGAGGCCGTACCAATGGATCTGAAGAAGGTCAATATGATCGGTGCCTAGCCGCTTCAAACTCTTGTCTACACTTTCAGTAATGTTTTCTTCGTCCACCCTCACCGTCTTGCCGTTGTCGCGGATATAAGTTCTATTTTCACTGTATCCCGCTACCTTGGTTGCCACAATGACCTGCGCTCAGTACACACTACGCCAGTTGAGCACTCCCTCTCAAAAAATTCCCGAAGAAATTCGCAAGCATGAGGCCTCGCTTCTGATAGAGATTGTGTGACGCTGTTCACGTTCACCTACTGTAGTGGATTTTCGCCAAAAAGTTCAGCTTGTTCCATAGTTGCAAACATTCCAAATATTATCCCAGGAACATCCACCCATTACATCAAAAGAAAACTGACCTTATCCCGGGGCATGGTCTTCAACCAGGTGCTTATAAATTTATCGGTTCGCCCAGTTGTTTCTGGAGTCATAGGAATCGGATACTGCAGCAATAACCATATATTGTGCCGCTTTAGCTCTGGAGGACACGGACGCCACCCCACCAGTATGGACAATGCTGATAGCATGAACTCAATCCAAAGACATTAGTCAAGAATGAACCAATAACTTACAACTTCAGCCGAATCGAAAATGTTGATCCCATTGTCAAAGGCATAGCAAAGCTGCTCGTGAGCCTCCTTCTCCGTGTTCTGGTTGCCCCATGTCATCTGCATCTCAGTTCGAGTTTCAGGTTAACGTCATAATGCACCAACTAAATCTGTTAATTTCACATATTTTCTATATCATAAGGAAGTTTAGGTATAAGACAAAGTTTAGGTGTAAGACAAAGAAGCCCTTCGTATTGGTCGAAATCAAAGAAATAGTAAACTAGCAGAAAGTCCTGCATAACTTGCAGAAAGACCACCTTTCCATGCCCAACTGCACGGGTTTCCGCTAGGACATAAAATACCCAATTTTAAACATATAAGTAGATAGATAGATAAAAAAAGAATCAGCTTACCGTGCCCAACGTAATTTCACTGATCAAAAGGTCGGAGTCGCCAAGCTTGTTATACCGCATAGTATCAGCAATTTTGGATGCGGACGCAACCGCTGCCCTCACTTGCACACCGCGAACACACCTCTTCTCACTCCTCACATTCCCAGCTCTCACCACTGGCACCAACCCACACCCCACGGCACTCGAACGGCTCCAGGAGAGCGCCATCGAAGACGGTGACAACAAACTGTGTAGCTCAGAGTCGCAAGCGGATAGCGCTCACACACCAAGTGACGCCATTCTCACAACACCAGAACACCCGAGAAAATTACTAGTCTAGAATTCAGGTGACAGTGGCCATCTCCACGTTGTGGTCTATGATAAAGTCTCTTTTTACTTTACACCATCTCTAAAGGCCAAGGCTTTTAAAAGGGTGTATTTTTAGTGAAAATGAACGTTCAGAAGCCTTTGAACCACAAATTTTTTAAATGGGTTTTTTGACAAAAGGTCCTCTAAATATATTACAATACGAATACAATTTTCGATTGAAATATTCAAGTGGTCCAACGCCCATAACCAATCCAATGCAAATTCTTCTTTCCCTTGCAACGAGATTGATTCAGCTAATTCAATTGATGCTGGAATTAACAATTTTTTTTTGTTTACAGAAAAATATGATGATTAAAACAAAGAATAGAAATCAAAGGAGTAAAGTTTGGCTCTAATTTACTCATCGTTCTCAACTTGGAATACACAAAATGGCTAGCAAATCTACTACTTCGAAGTGATTGTATCTTCGATTTATTGAATTTTGAATAATTTTAAGCAACACCTAAAAAATCCAGTTTGGACTCTATGAATTATGAGTCACATGTGTTTTGATTAATACCCATCCTACACCCCAACTTAATAACTTTCACCAAAAGTTGTCCTATGAGATACATAAATTTCATTAATCTAAAATCCAAAATCAAGAACATCAAAACCAATTATTAATGAAAGACAGTATTTCTACCACTCATAATACTTTAATGACTCTTCATTGCATTCTGCGAGGTTATACTAGTGCTGGACCAAGTAGAAGCTACCATACAAAAATAAACGTTTCATTATTCTCTACAGCCTAAGGAGAAAGTGACTATAAAATGATTCGAATAGTTAGACTTGCACAGGGTCCATAATAAAGCACCCTTGCATCAGGTGAGAGAAACGAACAGTGGTGGCAAACGAATGAGCATTTGCTTCAAGAAGCACCTTCATTTGATTGCAGTACACAACTAACACACTTCATCCGAAAGAGCTCCCAACATGATCTTAAGGAAACTGTACACTAATAGAATCTTGCTATAAACACATGCATTACAAGAGACAAGGACTAAAAAATTACACCAGCTTGAAAAGAGATTGGTCGTGTTCTACGAATTTTAAAACAAGTAGGAAATTTGACATCCAAAGTACAGTGAAGCTCAAAGTCTTTGAGCTCTCATTCCAAGTTGCTACTGTTCTTATACAACTAAGAAGCCAATACACAGTAGTTGGCCGCCTTAAATCGTCGATCATCTCCTCAAAAAAGACTAGCCGTCTTAGGCATCACTGTAGCCTCTCCAGACAGCACGGAACTCTTCCCGAAAAGAGTTGAGCCGAGCTTTCAAATTCGGAGTGCGGAAACTTGCATGTAAAAACGGCACTACAACGAACACCCCGCACAAGGCAAGTCAAAATTGAGAATAATGCACTCTTCCTCAGAAAGATAACAAATGAAACAGAAAAAATCGCATCACAATAAATCAGTGAGTGAAACTACATACGCTGTAAGTATATGAAGCCCTTACATGTTATTCCAATAATTAGAGCACCAAGAATAGTAATAACTGCAGAAGAATACCACCACAAGAGCGCAGTAACTGCACAGAATAGACCAAATCACCAATCCATCATATTGCTTAAGGCAAATTTGACGACTTCGCAAAAAGTCACAGGTCAATGCTAACCACATTCTACTTCAGTTATCAGATACGCAAGCAACCATATGTATATTTCTCAATAGAGTTACATGGCTTCTGACCGTGTATTGCAAACCTAAACAGCTACGACTTAGGCGAACATGAGATACTGTGAATTGCCCAAATTGATTTCTGCATCTAATTGATTAAGACATTCGTGTCCTTGCTCCAGTCAGAAAATTGAGATATAATACGGTCAAACAAGTCCTTTTCCCACACACCTAATCCCAGGGCACCAACAAAGATTCGGCGATCGCGACCACAAATGTAGACTGTGCCTTTCAAGGGCCGTCCCCGTGTTCCCGTCCTACATACATTACAAAAACATTAGGTTTATTAAACCTACCTCTCTTGACGCTGCAATAATGCAAGTTGGATGTAAAGCCTTCGAGAAATCCTGTTACTGAATTCTAAAATTGTGCCCGCAAAAGAAAGTTAACAGTAAGCACATCAAACCTAATACACAACCCAGGCATGACATGTGTATGGAAACAAGAAAAAGAAAAGAAAAAAGGATGGGAATCATGAACTAGGCGACAAATAGAACTTACGATACTGGAGCACGCAACTTGTGAGCAAGTGGAGGAGAAAATCTTCGAACAGTCCTCGTCAATTTTTCACTTAATGACACGGCAAAACTGCAACCCACAAAAATACATGTAAAAAACTCCATTTCAAGTGACACATGTCGTAAAGACAACATTGAAATCAGAGGTGTATAACTCAAGAGCATGATGTAGAGAATGCAACCAGGACTCTCAACCAAGATTCCTTTGCTTCACAACCCATTGATCAAGAGAAACGAAAGTACGCTCATAGAAGCAGACTCTATGACTGCAAATAGGGGTCATACAATGCCTCACCTGTCGTTGAGACAAGCTATATCGAGGGCTGTGAGAAACACAGCGACCAATGCAAATGGATTCCGTATGAATGCAATCACTACAAAAAAGCAAATCGAAAGCTGAAGGTTAAAACGTCAATAGTGGTGCATTATGGCGTTCTACTTCGTATAGACTGCATGGCAATTCATGCGAACCACAAATTTGCGAGCTGCTATGCCATGCGCTGTGCATTGCAGTTGTACAGCATGCCACCCAAAATGCGAGGAAAATGACAGAACTAGGTTGCTAAAAAGAAATACTTACCAAGAACAAGAGAAAAGAGAACAAAGTAATTTGAGCGGTAGCTACATCAAACAATCAACATGTTAGTGCTAACTGCCATGAACACACACGGAACCCACGGATACCGATTCAAGAGTGGTCATTTCACTAGACAAGGATGAAAAGTAAATACCTATCTAGATTCATAGAAGCAATATCATTCAGAAAGAAGAAAATAAAATAAAATAAAATAAAAAAATGCCAGATGTAGACTGAGCAAGATAGCGCCTATAATCTAGGACATGGATCTCCACATGCCAGAACCAAACTAGAAACTCGCCCTTTGACGGCACCTGAGGGTAAGGAGCAATTGACAGCTCTACTAACCAACAGAAGTGTACTGATCAAGCAGTGATTGGGTGATCAGCTTAAGGTAGTGAAGGAAATGCAGTAAACCGCTACACTACAGCACGAATGTGATTGAAAATTCTGGTTATGAGAGGCTAAAGAAAGAGCTTCGTGTAGTTCCTTCTCAATGTACTAACCGCTCTGATTTCTAGCCATATCGAAAAATTAGGCGGGCATAATCCGACTGTCGCGCGAAGAGATTAAAGGGAGGGTGAGGGGAAAATAAAGAAATTCTGAATGCCAGAATCAGCGAGCCCGATTGCATGATTCACCACTTCTCGCTCAGAGATAAACAGAAAGAGATTAGACACATGTTGCAGAATCTTCATCATACCACTTGGATGCCATGACAAGTGAGAGGGAAAGAAGATCTCACTAGTACATATTGCACTTGACGCGTCCATCCCATTTCGACTGCGTTTTGGGAACAGTAAATTTGGCAAAGAACTCTGCCAGCGGGCGAGGCGGTTGTGACCATTCCACCTCCTTCAAAGCATCAACAAGCTCATCTATGGTCACATTACTCCAATCCATGACTCCTTCCCCACCACAGTACACTTCCAAAGGCACCAAGCCGCTAACTCCTCCACCAAAACCGAACACCTTGACCACTCCTTTCGCCCCTTTCCCTCCTTCAAATTAACCACACCAAACACCCAAGGTACACCACCAAAGCCTCAGGCGATCCTCCTCCTCTCCGATAGATCCACTTCCTGGCTCTCAAAACAAAACCCTAAGGCGCGATACAGCTTCGTCCTGCCCGATCTATCGTTATAGACAACCTCTGGGCTCAAAATCGCAGGCAATAGGATCTCCGAGAGTTGGCCGTCCGCAACGAACCCAGCAGCGATGCGAGCTGGAGACGAGGACATAAGAAGCAAGGATGGGCGAGACTGCGGGGCGACCGACCGACGGAGGCAGGGAGGCCATCTGCAAGCTCCGACGACGGCGATAAATCGTTGGTCAGCGCACCGGACTCCGACGTGGGACGGTTAATGGCCCCCCTTCTCAGAGACCTGGCAGCACATGCCAAGTCTGAGCACCCTAAGACCGCAGCCACGAAAGAGTTGGAGTTATTTTGAAATATTGAATGTAAATATTGGAATATTTACAACAAACTACACTTCTTGCGGTATTTTTTGTTTCCATGCCATTTTAGTATAATATATTAAGTATATAAAGAGAAGTGCATTAGAAAAGATTCATTTAAAATTTGCCATGCATGAAAACCAAAGTTTTAGGTTCTATTTTGATGCTCTTTAAATATTGTCTTTAGGAGTTATTGACAACTATCATCAATTTGTTTTGATACTCTTTAAAGATTGTCTTTTGGATTTATTGATAACTATTGTTAAGTCAACTCCAACAAAATAAATTGTTTAGGCAAAATCTTGATATGAGATTTGGGGCATATTGGATCTATTGTTGTGAAATGGTAATTCATATTGTACTTTTAATCTATAAATATACATAAATTAATTTTATTTTAATAATTTAATCTTCTCTATTAATTTTTCCAACCAAAAGATATAATAATCCATGTACATCTATTTGAAATCTATTTAACAAAATTAAAAGCTAAAAATATCCCTTAATTCAAAGGTCATATTTAATATTCTCATTAAGATTTTGGTCTTTGATACACTATCAAAACTTTGATTTTTAAAAAGAAGCACCTACAACATCATGTCTTAAGTCTTTTACAATTTCCAATAAAAAATCAAAACAAAATTCTACCAAATGTTTTAGTGTTATTACCAAAAGATATTGATTTTTTTAAATACTTTACATAATTTCATAGAAAACTTTTATACAAAAAAATGTTATATAGGTGCTTCATCTTAAATAATTTTTTTACAATTCAATAGAAAATATTTTCTTTACTAGTATACAAAATAATTTTCCAATATCTTTTATTTTTATTTTTTTTGTTACAGTATAGATAGATGCAAACATCATTTGTTGATTATTCTTGTTCTCTTACTTTTACCAATATTTCATATCCAAAAGCAAAGCAGACAAAGCACATAATGTTTCTTTAAATATTCTACATTTTCTACATTGTTTGAAATTTAAAAAATTACAATTGTATGTCATTTGCTATTTATATGTCACTTTCTTAGTATGTACAAATAGCTAAGTATAAAATACCTTTAACTATTTTTTTTTACTAAAAAGCTTCAAATCTAGTGTTAAAACTTACCACATATAAAAAATAGAAAATAGAAAATAAAGAGATTAAAAAAATAATATTACAAGAGTTGTAAATTTAACCAATCAAATCACATCTTTATCTATGCAATGCTTGTGTCTCAAGCTTCACATAACTTATATAATAAAGATAGTGGTGTCTACTTACATACATCTATCTATTAACGTGTCTATCCTTGTCTTTATGTGCCAATTCATCTATAAATTCTTATAAAACTTTGAGCCAATTCTTCCCTCACAAAACATGTAAGTACACCAAAAAAGTAGAAATAAACTTAACATCCAAGTTTAATATTTAGAACCACACCCCATGAACTTATAATATGTTGTGTATCCCTCATTTTGTAAGAAACACCTAATATTCTTTAATCCTAGTTTTATTATTATGATGTTATTTTTAAAAAGCAAATCCTTATACTCTTATAACAATTAATTCCCATCTCTTCTATAAGCATTTAATACCCCCATCACTTTAACATATAACTCTAATGCTGATTATATACATGCGAAGCATTAAACGTGATGCTTCAAAAAATGAGAACCAAAACAACGAGAGGAGACAAGCACAGCAGCGGGAGGTGGGGAAGGGGGGGGGGGGGGGGGGATTGGAGAACTAGGATTTACGGGCGAGTGTAGCTACTCGAACCTCCAGGGAGGGGTCCCTGGAGATTGAGTGGCAATTCAACAGGCCAGGTCCTTCTCTCGCGTCGTCGCGCCATCGTCGCCCCATCGTCGCCCCATCGTCGCCCCCTACAATCTGCTCCACCATGGCGGACAAAGCTTGCACCGTCCGCACTAGAAAGTTCATGACCAACCGCCTGCTGGCGCGGAAACAATTCGTAAGCGCTTTTGAGCTTGTTCTTCTGGTTTTTGTCCCGTCTCAAGTTTTTATGTGATTGTCCGGTTTTGTTTGGGTTTAGGATTTGGGCGTGTTTGGGTATTTCTCAATTTTTGACCTCTTTCGGTGCTTTGGCAGATTATTGACGTTCTGCACCCAGGTCGCGCCAATGTCTCCAGGGTACGTATTGCATTCAGTTCGTGTCGGCACATTTCTGAGTGGGTCGAAGTTAGGGTTACACTTCAGGTCGGAAACTGAAGTTTAATGCCTCTCACACAGACTGAATTGAAGGAGAAGCTCGCGAAACTATACGAGGTGCGGGATCCTCAGACCATCTTCGTGTTTGGGTTTAGGACCCAGTTTGGAGGTGGCAAGTCCACTGGCTTTGGTCTCATCTACGATTCCGTTGACTCCGCAAAGAAATACGAGCCCAAGTATAGATTGATCAGGGTGAGTGCTGGGTCGCCATGTCCTGAACGGATCGGGAGACAGTGTTGCGTATGAGTCACGGGGCGTTGTTGGTTCGAGAAGTGGTTGTTGTTTTCAGTGTAGCTACTCGAATCGTTCGTTGTGTTAGGTTGTCTTGGCAATTGGTATCGACGTTTAAAGTGAGTGGAATGTGCAGAATGGACTGGCAACAAAGGTCGAGAAGTCGAGGAAGCAGATCAAGGAGCGCAAGAACCGTTCGAAGAAGATCAGGGGTGTAAAGAAGGTACTTGTTTCTTTGATTGGCATTTATAGTGTTATTTTGATATAGTCACGTCTCTGTGCATATTTTGTGTGTCTTCTTTTCAGTCTAATGTTGTAGTTTAGTTCAACTTGGGTATCAAAACACGTCTAACAGCCGTCATTTTTACGGATGCAGACTAAGGCCGCTGGAGATGCTAAAAAGAAGAAATGAGCTGTAGGCTGAGATTTCCTTCAGACTTTGTTGCGACGAGGGACTTTTCTCCTGTATTAACGGCAATGGCAGTGTAGACAAAGAAAAGATTTTTTGAATGACGCAGGTCTCATTCAGGCCCTTGCGGGTCGCTACTGCTTGTGTGTATCGTGTTCTCTGGGGCTGTTACGACGATTTTTTTTTATTTTAAGCGTCCATGATATTTTTATTCATCTATTTAAATGTTGTTTTACACGCACAGCTCTCTACCGGAATGGTCATATGCACTTTTATGTCCCATTCGGTTGTTACAACACGTTCTATTTTTATTGGTAATGTTTTTGAAAATTGTTCGAAAAATAGGCTCTGCATAGTCGAAACAAACGTGCGAGTACGGATTACTGTTGGCCTTGTTATACTCTGCGGTTGTTGCACGCGTGTTTATTGTATGCAGCTATAGTGAGTGATATTGTAGAAAGATTGCCTCTGATAGCCTTACAAATTATTCAATGAGTAAAGTAATGATACGGGGCTTTTGTTCTACTTCGAGGAGCTATTCTAACTAGTATAAGTCTAACTAATCAATGTTGAGAGAAGTTGAACTCTTCTATGTTTTCAATGTACAATTGTTCACAAGAGCTTCTTCTCAAAATAGCACAAAAGCTTCGATCTCCGGTGGTCCCCATTTCTAGCCGCCAATCTCATAGTACGGATCCCCTGTAGGAGCTCGGTGACCGGTACACAGCATTGACCAACCCAACCATTCCGGATCATTCTGTCACGTCTCTTCAGTTCTACTCTGAGTACTGCCAGCTCCGGTACTGAATCCACAGCTCCAATTCAAAACATCAGATTTACGCCATGCTCAAAGAAAATTTCCCAGTTTTAATGGTAATCTCATGAGAGAAATATTTTCGAATATAAGTGTAAGAACGCTTCCAATTGCTCAATTAGAAAACATGGTATCTCACCTCTTATTTGAAATTCCAACTCCTGATCTTCCCAGCTAGGGTTCGGAGACTGTTTAATGACCCGTGTTCTCTTCTTTTGTTTATCTCCATGCATGCCGTGTATCGTAACCTGATTTCAAAATGTTTCAAAGGGTGCTTAGAACATGGAACTTTTCCGAAGCTTTCAATTATCAAGAGCATTTTCTAAATCTTAAATAGTTAAATGTTCCTGAAATACGGGGCATTGAAAAACTGAGAGAACAAAGCATATAACCGATTAGACACACTGGTGTCTTAACCGGACTCTGGAGGCAATAGGATGCAATTTACCCTGACAAAATAGCCTCGCCTTCTGGAAGCGTACTTCTTTTGCCACACATACCCCAACAGAAATTTCACCTGAATCAAAAGTACAATACTCCGAGGGTTAATAAGCTGCCAAAGGTATACTCTACATGCAATGTAACATTTGCACTTTTTTTCACAAGAGAGAAGGCACTAACCATACAATAAACTGAAACAATACTGATTTGCACACCCATCTACAGAGTTGCAAATTGAAAATGCATAAATGAAATTCTTTGAAATATTCTATTAGTCGTAAGTGAATGTGAAAATGAATTGTAAGATCCACATATTACAGAGATGAGCTTCTTTCGGAATATATATATATATATATATATATTTTTTTTCTTCGCAACAACATTTGTTAGAATAGCTATTATCTTCCAAAAATGGGCGCTCCACAACCTAACACAAACAGACTCAAAGTCTAACCTTAAGTTCAAGTTTTGGTTTAATGTCCTTCAGACTTCGATGGTCATGTTTAGATTCAGGTAAAAGAACAGCAGGCTTCTTGACATAGCCGCAACCACCATTCTTACTAAAGAGTGCTTTGGATATCCATACAGGCCAATCGCATCCTTGCCAATTGATAGCTGCAATTTGAACACCATGTTCCCAAGCATACATAGGATCTCCATTTGACGAATCAATCCGCAGCCCAAATGGATACACTCTACCCAAATTGCGCTTTGAGAACCTGGCAAACCATTTTCTCGACCATATACAAATGAAAACACCATGAATGGAATGAAATTATTTTTGTTGGAGAAAAATCACATTAAAAGTCCAGAACCACAAAATAAAAAATTGAAAAGTACTAAATAAGAGTACTTACTCTATCAAAGAATCCGGGTGATCTTTAACTTGAGCGTTGAGCTGAGGTTCACTCAAGTTGGCCATAATTGCAACTTTGCCTATTTTCAATGGGCCGCCCTTCACATGATCATTCTCCATCTCATTAGGCTTCTGACAATGTATATACAGTAACTTGTCGAATTCCGGATCGAACTCAGAACTGGAATCGTCAGTATCTTGAGATGAGGTCGGTTGCAGCGTCCTGCTTCTAGATATTTGGTCTTGACGTGTAAGAACTTTTTTCATACATTTCCGTGAGTGCTCATTTTCGTCTTCGCCGTCTTCGCCGTCTTCGCTGTCGCTCCCAATAATTTCTTTCTTTATAATTTCCTCTGCAAATTCACGGTCTTCCACTATCTTCGAAGGAGTGATAATATTATTTTTTTAAAAGGTCAGTATTATACCGATTTTCGCTCCATAAGAGAATTCTAGATGCAAAGCATCAGACAAGTAATTCAACTAGTTTAGGTTCGACATTTAGCAAAGAACAGAGACTTCTTGATATTGCAGACTACACTGTGTTCTATAGGTTAATACACAGAGCTGCAGATTAAAATTTTGTACCTGCGTTAGAAGTGGGAGACCCGGAGGTTTGTCAGAGATGATGATTTTATTCTTCAGCTGTTCAGGATGTCGGAACAATTTGGGTGGTCGTTCAGTGGGAGGAGGAACAAACATCATCCTCTGGCCAAGTATCTCATGCAGCACCTGCACTTGAAGATGACCAGAGCGATTGATTTTGATATGATGTATAAAATGCAACTCTATCAGAATCGCACAACGGAATTCCCCATACTTAAGAAATATACAAGTATTTAATCAGCTAACGGTAAACATGGAACTTGCCTTTGCAGCTTCCTTTTGGTGCTCATGATCCAAGTGATTTTCAATTGTAACAATGACGGGGTAGTCAGAATACTGAAATGCATGGTTCTTTATTGCCGTCACGCATTCTTGAAATGACACTGGCTTTGTCAAAGTCCTGACAAGAAAGACTGTATGTCATTGTTCATGATCGAAGCTGATTCGAGTTGAAGGATGTACATACCACTGCTACACTATGCCTTAAAAATAATGTCAAGAGCATTCACATTTGACTCTGAAAGGTTTTGATGCATTTTCGGAAAAAAACTTGATCTCCGTAGAATCAAATCGAGTGAATGTGGATCGAAATCATACCCGCCATGAAGAACATCAATATTCAAACCAGTGCCATTCCAGCAATCAAGCTCGATTACACGACATCCTTCCTCTAGAGCTTTTATAATAGGAGTGGTGCTGCACCGTCCCCATAACTGATTGCCACTCAAATACGTATTGTGGCTCGCAGAGATGTAATAATCTGACAGTGGCCTATTCATATCATCCGTTGGCTGATACAAATTTCAAACATATACTCAGATCAAAATTGCAAAAACAATCAACAAGGTCTAAAAATCTCTGTACAGCTCTTCTATAAAAGAACGCTACAATGTGAACTGCTCCTACAACTCTTCACGGTTGTCGGCAGTATATAAGCAGTGAAGAGAGATAAGAGACAACCAGGGCCAAAGAGAGTTTGATACTCACTGTGCTAGATTTTGCTGCTTGAGGTCCATTAAAATCAGGATGCCAAAGAAACCTGAGAAAGGTAGGGAAATCGAATGTAGGAGGTTGCTCAGGCGCTGGGGTAGCGTGTCTCGAGCTGCGGGAAAGTCTCGAACTCCCACTGAATCCTGGAATCCTGAAGTGGCGCGAGCTATCCGACTTCATCACTACTCTATTGAAATCTGTCATCAAGGTTGTCGCTCGATCTTCAGTCATGCTTTTCTCGCATTGCGTGTTTATCAAAAAAGTTGCCAAGTCAGCAGCATTCATTGCCTTCACCTTCCTTCCTCTAATGGCTTTCTCGAACTCTTCTTCCACCAGTCCGCAACCGTTTTGGTGAGGCGCACTAGGGGATGACAAACAACACCCAAATGCCGGTTTCGGGGATGCCATTGACCCGATCCAAGGCTAACCTTATACACACCCAGACAAGTCATCACATCAACCACGAATACAGGAGACTTTTCGCCACGAAACCTTGAGAAACCCTACCGCGATCACTCGAGAGGCTCAACTCAGCCATTCAAGTAGATCCACAACGTCAATCACGGCTGAGGGACACAGCGAGATAAGCCCACAAGCGACGACTCATACAATCTCATCCACAAAAACAATCTAATCAACTTCACCAACCCACAAACAAAAGACCTCAGACACAGCAATTGATCTCAGAGAAATCTACCAAATCGGAACAAAGGAGACACTAAGTCAACTAGGGGGCATCCCTGCCGTCCGAGAAAACTCACCGACCGCTCTATTCCGGACCGCAAACTCAATTGCAAAGCAAACGATGAAGCAGACGTTGCGTTTGCAGCAAGTGTGCCACTGAGCGGAGTGACGATTGCGGAAGGGAAGCGAGGAGGAGGAGAGGTTCCATAACTGGGAGGGCACCTAGGAGCGAGAGAACCAGCACCACTCTCCGCGGGGTCAGACGACGAAGAGTGCATCTCGATGGCAGTCACAACGAGTGATGAGTGAGTGGGATTCTAAATTTAGATGACTCCGTTGGGGAGAGCACCGGAATCGACGACGGCATGAAGAGGAGGAGCTGGACTCACTCACTCACTCCGATACAGAACAGAAACCACGCACTCCCTCGAAGAACAGGTTCAACGGGACGTGCTGCCCCCCCGCTTCGTCACGTTTGGGTTGGGTCAACCCACTCACGTTCCTCAGCACTCCATTTCTTCTTCTTCTTCTTGGCCTGCTTTTTAAGGGTTTGCTACCATACTTTCTCCAACTTGGTGTTTCTTAGTACTCTCATCCCCCCCAAAAAGTTGCAATGTCAACAAGTTGGGGAGGAAATTATGTGTGTGTGTGTATATATATATATATAATTATATATGTAATAACTAAATTGTTGGTGTGATATAGAAGTAATCTTAAAGTATAAAATTTTAAGATATATTTATTATTATTTAAAATCTTAATAATAGTATAAAAGTAATATGAAGTGAAAAATGATTATATTTTTAAAGGCCTTTTTTATTTATTAAAAATAAGAAATTGCAATATAGATACCTACTTTTATTTATTTATTTCATGAGCACTTCTTCATGCCATGCACCCCACATATACACAATAAAACTCTTCTTTATATTAAAATATTTTAGAATACTTTTTAATGATAAGTTATTTTAAGATAAAAATAAAAATATTTTTTTAGTAAATAAAAATAATAAAAAATTATTATAGAATTTTATCAATTTAATCAAAAAAATGAGTAAAAACAAATTACCATAAATCATTGCACACAAATCTTTTATTATAAATTTAGGAGAATATTAAATAGGCTTATTATTTTACTAAATTAATCCATCTTATTATAACCATCATTAGAAAAATGAACAATCTCCAAAAACCATCATTAGAATTATGGCCCTCATTTCAATCCCCTTTTTTTCTCAGCTCCCACTCTTTTTGTTCTCAACCTTCATCCCAATCCCTTTATTTGTAGCCTCCATTCCCTTCACTCCCAGCCTTTATCTTGACCCCCCCTCTCCCATCTATCTTGTTTTCAATCCCTTCATTTCTTTCATTCTCAGCTCCCATCTTGACCCCCCTTCTCCCCTCTTTCTTGTTCTCAGCTCCCATCTTGACCCCCCTTCTCCCCTCTTTCTTGTTCTCAGCTCCCATCTTGACCCCCCTTCTCCCCTCTTTCTTGTTCTCAGCTCCCATCTTGACCCCCCTTCTCCCCTCTTTCTTGTTCTCAGCTCCCATCTTGACCCCCCTTCTCCCCTCTTTCTTGTTCTCAGCTCCCATCTTGACCCCCCTTCTCCCCTCTTTCTTGTTCTCAGCTCCCATCTTGACCCCCCTTCTCCCCTCTTTCTTGTTCTCAGCTCCCATCTTGACCCCCCTTCTCCCCTCTTTCTTGTTCTCAGCTCCCATCTTGACCCACATTCGCTCTATTTGCAATTCCTATTGTGATTCCTTATTCCTAACCCTTATTCCAATCCTTTTTATTTTCAGCCCTTGCTTCTAATTCTTATCACAATTGTCAACCCTCTTGTGCAAAACTTTGATACTTATATTTTAGTCATAGCATCTCAATAATGTGTTATACATCTAGTCCAATCTGGTGAATGTAGCTACATCTCTAGAATAAAACTTATACAATCATCATATATTTTACTACAAATGTTTGAAATTGAACTAGCCAAACCAAACTTTATTCAAGGTATATACGGTGTTGAAAAGATGGAAAAATCTTAAGTTTATTAGCCACAATTAATTACAATCTATTGATTGAATAAAAAGGAGAACATGCTTTAATAACATTTTAAAGAAAATATACTACATAAAGAATAGCTTTAAGTATAGTAGGTTTTAGCATTGTTTTTTATTTTGAAGCTCTAACCATTTTATGAATCTTCTCTATTTCTTTAGGTATGAGTTTGTAATTTGATGTTTTGATAAACAAAGGGAGAATTTGCATGGTTGTGAAGGTATTCCAATTCTTTTTCTACTTCAACTTCACATCACATTCTTGCCTTCCAATCTAGCAATATATCTTCAAGGCAATAATCCAAATGATCCACAAGTTTGCAATAGCAAAGTCTAGATATTGTATTAAGCTTTGTCCAAAATTCCTTCTCAATCAACTCCTTTTATAAATATTTATAAGTTTTTTATTTACTAAAAATATTTTCTATCTTCTTTTGAAGCCTCTTCATTACAGCATTGCCTCATCTTTCTAGTAGGGAGCTCCAATAGACTATCCTCTATCCACTTCTCCCAACTTCTAAGTCAATGCGGTACATCATGTTGACAATCTCCTTTGATATATACTGCCTCAAAGAGCTTAAAACTACCCTACTCTTCTTATATCATCATCTAATAAAACTATCATCTAATAATTAAAAAAAAACTATTTATTCATAGTCTATAAAATAACTTAAAATAGTTATTTTTTAAAATTTTATATATGTATTCTATGCATTAATAACAAATAAAAATAAAAATTATAATAATAATATAAAATATAGTAAAAAATAAGTTAAGAAATATATATATATATATATATATATATATATATGTATATATTTTTTAACTTACATATATATATAATCATTATTCTTAATAAGTAGCCAAAAATAAAGATAAAAAAGTATTCAATACTACATTGCCTATTTCAAATCTATGGTATTGTTCTACTTTTTTGTTACTCAAACTTAAAATTATATCATTATTATAACAAGAATTAGGTTAAATCTTATTACAAAAATAAAAATAAAACTTTAAATCACATCACATTATAATAATTAAAGCTATATTATGTTTTATTAAAATAATATAAGTTAAAATCATATTACATGATTATAACAAGGGCTAGATTATAATTCATTAGAAATATAGAATCCACCTCTAAGAAGTTTTGGATTATATTTATATCATTGATTTTTTTTATTTTATTATTTTTTTTAAAAATAAAAAAAATTATGAAATAATGACATAGAGCTTTTATCATAATTTATATTATTCAATCTAAATATCAAATGGACTAAGATTAATTATATATTTTTTTTTATTGAATTAAGGACATAGCAACAAAAAATGCATCTTTGGTTATAGACTCTACCACGCAATTCATGTAGTTAGCTTTAACTACTTCATAAGCCAAAAGCAATGTTTGTAAAGACTTATACAGAGTCCAATTCTTTAATGCCAAAGTGGTACTATGATATTCATGTTAGCAGACATGTTGGCATTTATACATTATGGGCAATATTTAAAAAAAAGATGAGAGGATTTAGTAGAGCTCAATACAAGAAATTTAAATCAAGGTAAGAAATGAAAGTATATGTGAGGATGACAGTCTAGTCAAATAAATAGGATTTATAAAATATAATGTTGGATTAAATGTGTGGATTAAATATACTCTTATATTATTTAAACTCTGTCTTATGTAGCCCTTGGTCAAAATATTAGTAAGTTGTTCCGTAGAGGATTTGTATTTTATTTTGATTGTACCATCTTTGATTTTTTTTTTACAAATAAAGCAAAAATTAATTTCACAATATTTTGTGCAATCATGAAATATTAGATTTTTAGATATCTTCAAAGAGCTCTAATTATCACACCACATAGTCATAAGTTTTTTTGTAATCAAAGCCAAATTTATAGATAAAATAAAAAATTCATATATCTTTATTTGTAGTTTTTATAAGAATGTGGTATTTTTCTTTGTATAAAAAAAGAGAGATGATGTTTTATTTTTTTACTATTCCACGTGATTAAACAACTTTTTTAAAGAAAAAAATGCATCCACAAATGTGTGAGTGTTTAGATTTTTAACATAATTAACATCTAAATAACCATGGATAGTAGATTTATTTCCTTTTAGATATCAAAAATCAAGAATTGAATATTAGTATAAGTTTATCTTCAAAATAGAGCTATTATGATTGATTGTCACAGATATACATATTTATTCTAATATTTATCTATATGATTAAATAGAAATAAGTAAAAATATATTTATTTCATAATATTTTTTAAAGAAGCTTCTTAAAAGCTTCATAGATGGTGCTTTGATTTTACATGTGTTTATAGTTGATTGATAGATTAGAAATTTTGTCAATAAATTAATCATATATTAATAGCTTATAAAAGAAGCTAATTATTTGGCACATATATAAAAAACTTGCTTTATAAATTAAGATGTGTGTCTTATATAGTCAACACATTTTCGAGGTCTTATAGGATATTGCTACATAGTTTCTAATTAAGAGTATACATAGAAGCAATAGTGAAGCCTTCTTTGTTCTTGTCAATGCTTTCTTAGTCTTTAGTCTTATTTCAAGACTTTTTAATCTTCTTGTCTTTGGAAATAGTCATTCTAATTTAATATTATATCATCTTTGAATGATTTTTTAGACTTTTTGAATGACACAAGAGTGTATTGAGATTTTCTTTCTTTGAGATTCATGTCCTTGACAATTTGATAAGAGTTCTAATTCATTGTTCTTATCTTATTTTAAAAGTGAGTGGATTATCTCACTTCTATTGTTGTATTTTAAAAGTTGTGGATTATCCACCTTTAAATAAATTATTTAGTTTTTTCTTAAAAAAAGTGGATTATCCCTCTTTGAAGAAATTTTTATTTGATATTAGAGGTTGCAAACTACCTTCTTTTAATTTGATTTATGGATTTGTCAAGTTGTATAAAATTGAAGGAAAAATTATAGATATTACATTGAGTGGAAGTGAAAATAGATTTGTAACTATTCTAGATTTTCACAAACTAGTCAACATTCTTGAGATAGAAATTTTATTCATTAATGCCAACTAAAGAAATACTAATCCTATGCCTATAGAAGAGGACCAGAGTCTACATCATGAAGTCATATAATTGAAGGAAGTAAGTAGATCAACTTTAGAATTAAATCTAAGAAGTTTTGTTTGTATAAGTATAATAAGGACAAGGATTAGTATGCCCAAGAAGTTTGATGGAACAAACTTATTCATCAAGGTTGGAATCAATGCAAATTGATATGATATGTTTTATACTCTTATTGAACAAAAAAAGGCTTATTGTCATCAAAAACAATTATATCTATTTTATGGGAAATC